AGACTGCCCCCACATTCGCTGGTGTGGTCGCAGGGGATTTGGATCCTATGGAGCGGCTACGCAACATTCCACTTCCACAGGCCGCCACACCGGCGAGTCCAGCTGGTTTGTTTGACATGAGTGCCTCTGGTACGGTCGCACGAGGGAGGGGCACATACAAGCAGCAGGCGGTCACCTCGTATTATTCTGACCCTAGAGAGCGTGCATGGCACATGACGATCATGCGGTTCATCGTGGAGAGTGGCATGCTGCGTGAAGCTTGAGAGCTTCAGACGGTTGTTCACAATCATCATCCCTCCTGGGGTCCCCGGGGCTCCCGTGCCTAAGCCCCCGACTTATCACATGGTTCGAACGACGTTGTTGGACGAGCTGGATGCAGAGGTGCAGCGGTGTGTGAGACCAGTGCTCGATACCGTGCGTCAGAGTGGTTGCACTATTATGACGGATGGTTGGACAAACATCCGTGGTCAGACATTGTGCAACTACCTTGTCGGTACAGAGAGGGGACCCGCGTATCTTGCCACTGATGTTATGCGGGGGAGGACTACGTGCCAGCATTGGCGAAGGCATGGTTGCACAGGCTGAAGACCCTTGATATCCAGCTCAACGACATCACGGCGTTTGTCACGGATTCTGCGGGTGTGAACGTGTCCGCCATGCAGATATTCGAGGAGGACGAAACCGTCAAACATATTTTTTGGATTCGGTGTGTGGCACATGTTATGGACCTCATCTTGGAGGACATTGGGTCGATTGGATGGGTGGCATCACGCATTGCTCAGGCGCGACTCGTCACGAAGTTCTTCAAGCGCCACAGTCACGCACGCGAGGCTTTGGAGAAGAAGACGAAGCTGAAGTTGTTGCTGCCCGCAGAGACTCGTTTCGGCACCAACGTCATCATGATCAGGAGATTGTTGGATCTGCAGACCCATCTCATGCAGGTCGTTACCGAGGACCCATGGCGCGACACTGTTTGGGCCACGCGGAAGGTCGGTCAGGATGCCGCCGAGATCACAACATGTGTGGGGTCTCCTCCATGGTGGGAGGATTTGAGGCGTTTGTGTAATATCATGGACCCGGTCATGGAGATGCTGCAGATGCTGGACAGTGACACACGGCAGATCAACAAGGTCCTGCGTCGGTATGAGATGATGATCGCATCCTGTCTTACCGCGTGCGACTCCCTCACCGTGACAGAGCAGGATGAGATCCTTGAGGTTTTCAACAGGCGGCGCACCATGTTCCGTACTCCAGTGCACATAGCGGCCATGATGCTTGATCCTGAGTTTCGGGATGCCACCCTGTCAGACGACGATGTGATGCAGCAGGGGTTGATTGCCGCTTTGGTTCAGTTTGGCTACCCCGAGGGATCTCCGCAGCTCATCGAGGTGCTCACCGCGATCGACAAGTTCCATGCCAGGGAGAGGCTTTTCGACAATGCCACGACGGATAGAGCGATGAGGAGCTATGAGCACCCGTCCAGTTTTTGGGAGTCGAAGTCGCGCAGGTTTCCACACACCGCACACTTTGCCATGAGGATCCTGCGCGTTTGGACGACAGCGTCGCCCTGTGAGAGAGCTTGGTCCCGTTGGAGTTTCATCCACTCGAAGACTCGCAACAGGTTGGAGGTTGGACGGGCTGAGAAGCTCGTGCGGTGCCATTGGAACCTCCGTCTTCTCGACCATCCATCTCTGACCGAGGATGCTCCTCACGACAGACCCGATCAATTCGGGAAGTGGGTTCACTATTGGCAGCATTTGGAGGACGAGTTGCCCACTGACCAACAGCTTGTTGCGGGGAGTGGAGCGAGATTGGCAGCCACACAGGAGGAGATGAGTGTGGCGAGGGAGCGGATGCACAGTGTTTCTCGCATGGGCACCGAGCGCCGCCTTGTCCAATCGGACAAGAGACGACGTGGACGTGTTCGGGGTCGTGGCGGGCATGGTGGGCGTGGGGGGCGTTCTGGTCGTGGACGAGGTGGGCGTGGATCAGCGGGCGGGATATGTCCTCGTAGTGAGCAACCTGGGCTGCGTGATGAGGCGATGGTCGACCTTATTCGTTTCCCTCGACAACATTGGGACGAGGGTGATTTTTTGTATCACAGCTCCGATAGCGATGACGAGGATTTCTTCTGTACCGCCATGCCGCGAGGCGGAGAGGACGACGGCAAGCCGAACGACGACCGTCCGGATGATGACGATAGTGATGATGGAGCGGGCGACGGTCGGGACCCTCGATCGTTGAGACGAGGTGGTGGCACTGGTGGGAGAGGTGCTGTTGCACCACGAGATGCAGCACGTGATGGCGGAGGATTAGACGTCGTCCACGGTGGAGGCGGCTCAGGCGGGCCACAGGCCGAGGATACCGGAGCAGCGCTGGAGCGTACACGTGCGGATGTGGCTATGGACGCCGAGCAGCATGCGGGAGTGGTCGTTGTCGACGGCGGAGGCAGCAGGGATGGACAGGCCAGTCCCCCGCATGGCTCAGGCTATGAAACGCGTGAGGCCAGTGGAAGTATTAGCTGCTTCAACTCAAGATGAAGTGGGAATGATACCCTCCCCACTTCATGAAAAGGCCAAGGCTAATGACCCCTTAGTCACCTCGCAGACACAACTAGACCAAACTATGCTCGGTACATTAGATGTGTCTGAAGCCTTAGAGGACTTTGAGAGTGAGTGGTAAAACAAGGACCCTCGCGAGTCTTTGGTGGCACAGAGGAAAGGTTCTAGAGGGGAACATTTCGTGGTCGCAGTCGATGTAGGAGGCCGCAAATGTGGTGCCTTCATAGACATTGGCTCCACGCGGAAATACATAAGTCGCGACTGTTTAGAAAGGCTGCACCTACAGGACCGGGTACGGCACCTTAGTAGACCTGTAGCATCTACATTGGCCAACAACGAGCCCATGATTGTAACAGACTACATCAAGGACGTAGTCTTTACCTTCTCTTATGGAGGAGGAGAGCTTAACCGTAAGATCTCGTTCTTGGTTAGCGACAACTTGCCATTCGATATGCTGTTACGCATGTACTACGTCAAAGTTGCTAAGCCCCAGTTCGACTGGGATAAGAAGGTGCTCAAACACAAGTTGCCCGATGGCCGAACTCTCAGATTGACCAAGTTCAAGGCCAGTAGTATTACAGATACTAATGGCTGCTTGTGCGCATCCGCGTTCTACAATTATTACAAGCAAAACGAAGAGGAGGGTATGTACCTTGTTTATATCTCTGAGAAGGGGGAGGCCGTTAAAACACCCCCAGTGATAAAACGCGTCGTTGCTAAGTTCCCTGATCTGTTCGAGGAACCCACAGGAGTTTTTGAAAGGGAAGTTGTCCACGCTATAGAAATCATTCCAGGAAGTAAGACACCAAAGGGAAGGATCTATAGGATGGCCCCCGCCGAGTTAGATGAACTTCGGCGATAGCTTAAGGAGCTGACAGAGAAGCGTTGGATTTGGCCTAGTACTTCCCCTTACGGATCACCTGTGCTATTCGTACCAAAGAAGGGGGGTACTTTGAGGATGTGCATTGATTATAGGGGCCTCAATGCCATCACGGTGAAAAACGCAGAGCCTCTACCTCGCATAGACGACCTATTGGATAGGGTGCAGGGATGCAAGTACTATACAAAGATAGACTTGAAATCTGGATATCACCAGATCGCAATAAGACCTGAGGAAATACAGAAGACAACTTTTCAGACTAGATATGGTCTGTATGAGTTTGTAGTGATGCCTTTCGGTCTTTGTAATGCGCCGGGTACGTTCCAGCACGGATCTTCCATGACCATTTAGATAAGTTTGTCGTAGTCTATCTAGACGAGATTCTGATCATTAGTAAGTCCGTCGAGGATCACGCACAACATGTTGAGACATTACTCTCACTCCTCCGACAGCACAAGTATAAGGTCAACTTAGAGAAGTGCGAGTTTGGCCGCACTAAGATACTACACTTGGGTCATGAAGTATCCGCGGAGGGGATTAGGCCGGAAGATGCGAAGGTGGCTAGTATTCGAGACTGGCCACGACCTCAGACAGTCACTGAGGTCAGATCATTCTTAGGAATGTGTGGCTACTATAGGAACTTTGTAAATAACTATTCTACAGTCGCCTCTCCTTTGACTGATCTAACTCGACTTGACACACCGTGGGACTAGAGTGATGAGTGCGAGGGTGTTTTCAAGAGATTGAAGCATGCACTCATGATTCATGAGGTCCTCATGGTTCCCGATCTGCAAAAGCCATTCATAGTGACCGCTGACGCAAGCCAATACGGCATTGGCGAAGTGCTTGCTCAGCAGGATGGGAAAAAGTTGAGACCGATTTAGTACATGAGTAAGAAGATGCCATCAAAGAAGTTGGCTAAGTCCACCTACAAAAGGGGACTCTATTGTGGCATACTGCGTAGCCACACGGGCCCTACAGGGCCCGTCCCAGACAGTCAGCCTAAAAAGCCTAAAACTTAGGGCTTACAGGCCCCGGAGACATTTCAGCCTGACAACCGAATTCAGGCCCTACAGGCCCTAAAACGGTTGCCAGACTGAAGCCTAAAACTTAGGGCTTACAGGCCCCGGAGACATTTCAGCCTGACAACCGAGTTCAGGCCCTAC